AAAAAAAAAAAAAAAAAAAAAAAAAAAAAAAAAAAAAAAAAAAAGAAAAGCAAGAAAGGAAAAAAAAAAAAAAAGTGGGGGTGGGAGGGGAGAAAAAGAAGAAAAGAAAAAAAAATTTGTAAGGCTCAGCAATTTTCTATGACAGCCCAGCCTAATGTTTTGACCTGCACTGCTGCAAAACACACACTCCATTAACACTGTCCCTTATTCCTGTATATATAAATACTTTATTTATTAACACCATTGGTCATTTTAAATGCTTTTAAACAAAAAACAAACAAAAAAAAGAAAGCCTGCATTATGAAGAACAGCAGAAATGCAGATTTTTTTTTTTTAAACGGTTTGAACCAGACTGGGGGAAGAAAAAAATCTGAGACCTTATTTAAATGTATTGGATTTTTTTTATCTACAGGTGCTACAGCCCGTTACTTCCTGTCTCGGTGCTCTGTCATGTTTTGTGTATTCAGTTTTTGGTTTGTTTCTCTCTGTCTCTCTCTTGTACAGAATTTGGAGATTTACAGGTATAGAGGATTTCCAGATGCAGCACATTTTTTATTTTATCTATAATTTTTTCCACAGTTATTTTTTTTTCTCTCTCTCTCTTTTTCTCTTTTATAGAACACTTTTTTTAAAATCCCATTTGAGGGAAACCCCGGTTCTATTAATATACACTTTGTAATCTGAGGGGCAGAAATTTATTGTAAATTTCTTCATGTTTAAACTTTTTATTGTAAAGAAAAAAAAATACGGCATTTAACAGAAGGCTATGCTTTTCTTATCCCCACTGTCAGCCCCTTGAGGCGACCTCAATGCCTTGAGCTTGGGGAAGCCCTGAAACTTGGCCAGCCAAGGGCCACGTTAGCAACTTGCCATGAGCCTCACGCAGTGCAGATTGCATTTGCTTGCAATCTATAATAGAGAGTTACAGGGCAGGAGGACTGCACTTCTCAGCATGCCATATTCAGTCTCAGCAGGCTCAGATTCACACCACTCCAGAGGGGATTTGGCATGCCCAGGACATGTGGGTCCAGCAGCTTGTCCCTCTGAAGTTAGGGGAGCCATGAGCCAAGCTATCAGGTCACCATGGCTTGCACTTTTTTATTGCATCCAAGCTCAATGAATTTCCTTGTGATGACATTTTATCTCATAGGTCTTTAGAGGATAGTCAATCAGAGATGAAATAGGTGGCTGCCGCTGCTTGTATCTGTCTGTGAAATCCATCTTTTGAATGTCAGCCAACATTTCAGGAAAGAGGTGTGGAACGATGAGGTATCCATATGCGACTCTAATACAGCCCGAGCTGCTCTGTGTATATCTTTTAATTGTAAAGTTATAAACTCTACACAGAATCCGCCAATGCCGTGGGAAGGCATCGTCATATGGTGCCAGAGGAAGAGACAGAAATGAAAATGGACTTGATCCTTTGAGGCACCAAGTGCCTCTGCTACGATGCTCACCATCCCTCCGTTCACACTGAAATCAGCGGACCCCAGGCCCTTTTGCTGGAGATGTATAGGCCTGTTTGGTCCCAAAGCATTTGAAAGAAACGGACAGACTAGAATAGCTTGCATTTTACCAAAATTAATGCTTTACCTTTTGCTTTTCTATTCAAAGTTTCTAACCAGAGTTTAATTTTAATTTCTATATATTTTTTAAAAAGCACTGCCATTTGTTGTTGTTGTTTTTTGGGGGGGGGTTTCAAGTCTTTACCCAGACAGATCCTTAGTAATCTATTTTTAAAAGTTACTAGGAAGAAATCTAATATACCTATGATCAGGGCTTAGATCATTTTTAAGGGTGGGCTTGTTTGTTTTGTTGTAACGTTAGATTTACAGTCACTGAAACAGAACAGTGTTTGGTTTTGTTTTGGGTTTTTTTTAGATAGATATAAGCAATCCGATGCCAACCTGGAATAAACCCTGAACTCCTAGCACTCCTCCAAACAGAAATCCTCCCTGATGTGTATTCCTTTGGGGTCTAGCTGATAACGTCATGTGGAGTTCACTCAGGGTGACATTCCCTCCTATGTCAAGATCCAGAACATGCCCTGTTCACTACCTGGTCCCTATTTTGAGGATATAAGTGATGGATAAGGTTTGTAATAGCAGTTCATCCAGTTGTTTTGCTTCCACCCCCTCACCCACTGCAAAAAAAAATCTGTACAAAGCCCTCTGCAGTATTTATGCTTTGAGGTCAAAGGACCCTGGCGAAGTCAGCAGCTGAATTGGTGATGGCCACTACAAGATCATCAATGCATGCCCTTGGGTGCTAATGGGTCTGATTCAAAGCCTGTTAAGTTCAGGGGACTTTGGATCAGATGTCAAGTGATCCATGGGGACTTGACCTGGTGTCCAACCCTGTTCCCATGGAATCCATTGGAGTTCATTCACAGTCACTGGAGGCTAAATTTGGGCCGGGGGACCAGATCCTTAGCAGCTGTAAATCGCCATCAGTGGTGATTTACATCACTGGTGGCAATTTGTCATTTTGCCTCTAAAAGAAAATGAATGAAAAACCAGGTGGGAAAGGACTCTGATCATCTGAAATCAAATGGTTCCCATGTGATGGAAAATTTCTACATCAGGTTTCATTTATTTAGTTTTAAACCTGAACCCGAACAAAATCTGTTTGACGTTTTGGATGAAATGGCAATTTCAGAAGAAAAACAAATGACTTGCAAAACATCGGTGGTTAGGAAATTTTGAAATTCCATTTCAGACCTACATTTGCACGTTTTATATTTTTCGTGCTTTTGCATTATTTCATGAAATGTCAGTAATGGTGCATCTTATATTTGCTAGATCAAAGTGTCTCCAGAAAGGAAGGTACGTTTCATTCAGTACTATGTAGCAGGTATCTTTTAATATTTTCTAAATAAAAAAGTATTTCAGCTATCATATTGCATCGTGACATGTCAGTATTTGTAGCATACCTCATGAAATAGTGTAAAACTAGGAAAAATAAAGCCAATTCCAAAACAGGATTTTGAAATGTAGCAAATAGACAATTTCCCACAAGAAAAAAAAATGTAATTTGGATTGTCTTCCATGACAAAATTTATCCAAACAATTCAAATATCCAAAAAATTCCAGTTTCAGAGAAACAGGGTTTTTCTGTTGTTGTTTTTTTGCAAACCTCTTTTGACAAAAGTTATCTGACCGGCACTGGCTCATCGTTAAAGCTTTACATTTTAATTGATCACAGATTTAGCCTATTTCTTGATCTACCTTTAAGAGTCTAATGGGAGCAGAGGGCAATCAGGATCCCATGGCAGCAGACCCTGCTTCAGCTAGAAAAATAATCTGTCAACTCTGAATTTTTTTTTACTGAGGAGATCCAGTTAATACAGATCTGTATGGCTGGGATTTTACCCTTTGCAACTAATAGGGTTTGAAACTATAGAACTGATTTTAGACCTGTTAAAAGGTATGTGTATCTATACATTCACCTGGGTCTGTGCGTGTGTGTATATAAAAATGAATGACCCATTTGTTTAGTCCCTTTCCATGTTCTCTATTTGGTAAAAATCAGACTGCGGTTATTTTAATCTAGTTTTTCTCTGCTTTTGGGACTCTTAGACCAGTTTTTAATTATTTCCTTGTTTTTGAAAGGAAAGATGTTTTCTAAGGGTGGGGTTGGAGCTGGGGGAGAGGGTTGGGAGAAGACAAAAAAAAAAAAAAAAAAAAAAA